TGCAATTGAACAAGTTACGTCTTTACAAAGTAAACTAGAAGATAAAGAAGAACATGTCCGCAACTTACAAGTTAAATATGCTGAAGTCATGAATCAATTGGATATGCTACGATCGGAAATGGAGGATGAAAAAGTAGGACATGAAAATAAATTGCTAGAACAACAGGAAGAATATGAGAAAATGATTCAAGAAATGACTGTTAAACATCATAAGCACAATGAATCGTACGATGAAACTTTCAAAAATATGCAAAATGAAATCATTTCACTCAAGACAAATAATGATGAATTAAACCAAGTTATTGAAGATTTGCAAAATAAGTTAAAAGAATCAGAAAATAGTGTCATAGAAGCAACTAACCAACTTCGCCTTAAAGAGAGTGAAATATATCAAAAGACTCATGACTACACCATAACGTTGACGCAAAGGAATGAAGAATTTGAGAATGTTAGGAAGCAATTTATTGAGTATGAAAAACGCGTCGAAGATTTAAGTTATGAAAAAGAATCCGAATTAGCTTTGCTCCGATTAAAAATGCATGAAAATGACACTCGTTACGAGAACATGAGAAGTGAAGCTGTTGCAGAAAAAGAAAAACTCATAGAAGAACTAAACGCTAAAATAGTTGAATGTACAAATCTCAATAAACAAATAGTTGATTTGAACCAAGAATTAGAAAGTCAGTCAGCGAAGGCGGCAGAAATGCAAGCAGCGTTAGAGAATCAAGAAATAGAAATAGTTGGTTTAAATGATGAGATTACGAATTTACAGAATCTGATAAAATCCTCAAGTGCTAAGGTACAGAAACATGTGTCGTTCGCATCCGATACGAAGCCTGGTGCTGAAGGGGAGCAAAGTGAAAATGTACTAAACAAAGATTTGTTGGACGCTGTTCCACGAGCTGAACTAGACTTGGCATTATACATGTTGCACCAGAGAGACGTTCGCTGCGAGGAACTTACTATGGAGCTGACACAATTGTTAGAAGAGAGAGATACGTTACAGTTGCGCTTGTCAGACTGTTTACGATTAAATGAGGATTTGAAAAATAAGATCAAAATGGCCGGTTTCGATGAGTCAATGAATTCAAGCCAAGGAACCATATCGGAACTACCGAGCTTTACAGTAGAGAGGGAGTTTGTTGACGTGCACCGCGGGCAGACGTCACGAAGTAGTAGCATAAGTGATCCGGACGGAGAGAAGCCGAAGTTGCAGGCAAAGTAAGTATTATTACTTTGAATATGTCGCCATCAGCTACACACACTTTCAGCTTTCCTCCTCAAGCGAGTTGTAAATTTTAATTAAATCAGTATGATTCAAGATATGTTCAAAAATAGGTTTCTTGGTATGTAAATAATATCTGATCCAGGTTAACGGAGCTCCGCTCAGTGAAGCACAGCCGGGACGTGCGATTCCGGCAGGAAAGCGAGCAACGTCAGCTGGACCTACGGTTACTGCAGCGCGACGTCGCCAACCTACCCCCGGAGGCCGTCGACCAACTTGCTCAAGCCCATCATACACTCTGTACGTTTCATTTTATTGTAATACTAGCGTCCGCACGCTACGACGCACACTTATAACATTTATGTATTCCGGGATTTCAAAAACAGCAACGTTTAAAATATAAATCAAATATAAATTGCAATAGCCAATAGCACTTAAGAACACTTTAGCTATCAATCTGTGAAAGAATTTTGGATATCCGACCAGCCTTTCCAAAGATTACCCGTTACATACAAAGTTACAAATTTTACCTCCTAATATTATTAGTATAGAGTAGCTGACGTACTGGGATTAGATACCTAATCCCATTTAGAGAGGTTTTTGTTTAGAAAAGTTTTCGCCATCAAATATTTATAAAACCAAAATTAACCAATTCTGTCCAGCTGTAGTTTTAGCGAGACTTACCTGAATTTATTAAATGTATTAACTATTTTGCTTCCAGCTCGAGATTCCCAAAGCACGTCAACGGTTCTGCTAAATTGGCTTCGAGGGAAAAGTACACCAAAAGTAGTCCACATGTGAGTCACGCATTTATTGTATAAGTTTTGTTAATAATGAGGTTGAAACAACCGTCCTCCTTCTTCGACAAATTATTTAGTTATTAGGAAACATGACAGATCAGGTCAATATCTTTTAAAATCATCTTGTTTGCTTTTACGTGCATTTATCAAAAAGCCACCACTGCACATCACAATTTTCGAAATGTTTCGTAAAACATTTAGTTGTTAATTGTGCCCTTAGAAACTTGCCAACGAATATCAAACTATACCAGTTCCTCATACGGTATAATATTGTGTAGGTAGCTTGAAGACAAATTATAAAATATCTTTATTTTCTAAAAAATCTTTATAATTACCTACGAACTTTACCATTTCAAAGGAGCGAAGTAGTTACATTACCCATAGCCTTCTTCCCACTATCTGTTCCATCTGTAAGCTAGTTACATTTTAATAAAAAAAGGTCTGGTATAATTAGGTTTGATAAATATACGATTCTTATGTTCTGCCATATATGGGTTGATTTACAATGACCTGAATCAAAGTTCTTATGAGTATAGTATAAAGGTCATAATTTCAAACCTTCAAAGATTAGTGCATAAGAAAATATAGATTGGCAAGTACGAACGAACGACGGAATCCTTCACTAACCCTTGAGCTTACACTGCATTCCTAGACGAACCTTATCAATTTACTTTATTTTAACCTATTTCTGTTGTATACAAGATAATGTATAAACTAGTATATGCTAGATGAAAGAATAGTTCCAATAAACTATCCTATTTATTCGTTTTTATATTTAGGTTATGATTATTGATTTTAAATAATAAATAGAAATTGTAAATGCAATGTCATTGTACCTCACGATTGCTGACATAATTGTTGATTTGTGAAATTGATATTTCCCAAAAAGATTAAATCGTGCCTTTTCATTCATAGAACATAATGTAAATGTTATCGTTGTTACACGTTAGCTGTTCTCCCATGGAACACGTATTATAACAATTCTGAACCTGTATCATTTATGTATATAATCAACGGATTCTTTACGAATAAGAATCGCTGTATATTGAATTTGTAAATTTGTTTCTTGATTAAATGGTGTTCATTTAATATTTTGTTTTATTTTTAATAAAGTATTGATTTTAATAACTCAAAAAATAACAAGTAGGTACAATGTGATATCATTCGTCAATTTCTAGATCTGGGTCGGACACATACTTGTAGTACGGTACCTCAGAATCAGCAAGCTGGTATATACTATACCTGTGCAAGTATGCACTGCTATCCAAACGACCACAGCCTGAAATAATATGTCTGATGGATTCACCCTTATAATGTGCCTGACATATGTCAACCGTCTCATCCTTCATAATATTATATTTCCGATAGTTATTCGTGAGGACAACTTCGTCCATAATTGCTCATACAAATCCTTCAGTTTCTCCAAAGGGATTGCTGAATCATAGGCAAGATGCGGACGCTAGGCAATCTATATCGGACCCGTATCTTTCTCAGTCTCTGTAATACTTACCCACCTCTGATCACTTTGAAACATGCTATTCTAAGTATAACACTCTACTCTTTTTTATAACGCAATAGGGTTTGCCCATGCATTGATTTTCTGCTTCAAGAAATCGATGCGCCCTGAAACACGTGTAAGGTATTCATGAGGACGGACGCCTTACAAAGCGCATCACTTTAGGGCGGGTATTACCCTCACTGTAGCAGGTTAGTTTGCCGATGAGTACCATGGCTTCACTGATACGACGCTTAATCCTGCGCTGCCAGGCAGGAGCTGCTGGTTTCGGTCGGACTGCTGCGTCAAATTTTGGGAATTGACGTTAGCCACTCGACAAGCTGCTTTCGCCCCACAAGGATCGAGTGAGTATTATAGAGCAACTTTCAAAATGATTTTCAAATAGCGAAGGAACATCGGGTACGATTACGCTACGCACCGACCGAACTCCCGAGCGGCGTCAGCAAAGTGTGCTACGCTGACGCCATCAAGAGACGATCTTCGGCCACCGTAAGCGCGGATCTGCGGACGGCGAGTAAGGGTAGCTCGCCGGCCGACCATAACCAGACCAGAGCGTACGGCGCGTAGCGTTCCGCGCGCGTCTCATAGAGCCAATAAACCACCACAGACGGGGCCCTATTGGGCTGATGTTCAGCCGGGGTTGCAGGGTAAGCGCAATGAGGCACCGCAACCTCGGCCCAGAACAGGAGAAGGAACGGGGGGTTTTTAGTCAGAAAGAGTCTGACACTCCCTCCCGCCCGACCCTGGGCGGGAGAAGTGATTTGATGATTTTCCCCTCACAAAAAACGACACAAATCAGCTTCCTATTTTTCTACATATGGGCAAACGTGGTAATTTGGGTCGCAATTCACTGGGAGTAAATCTATACTTTCATATCGCATCCTCCAAAGCATTCCTCAATCGTTCATTGCACTGAGTACCTACCTACTCCCTTGTTCAACCTTATCGTACTCATTTCAGCGACAGGAGTGGCAGGTGTTATATTATACACTTTATTTTTGTCTCTTATTTACATAGTTGGTTATGTTCATCGCTGCCCGATATAAGCAAGAATTAATTAGTAAAATATAAACTTAAGTGCTAAAATGGTAAAACACTGGAACACTCAAATGAGATCAGCGTTAACTAAGATGAAGCTTAACGTTAGAGGGAGTTGAACCCCGCGACTAATGGTGGTATGGTATATGTCCAATAGACATTCTGGATACAAATAATTACTATATATACTATAGGCGCGGTGGCTGGGCAACTGGCGCACGGAACAACTCTTTGTGTGATCCACAAATTGTTGTTTCGGGTCTGGGTGTGGTGTGTATATGAAATTGTATGTTTTGTAAACGCACCCACAACACAGGAGAAATCCTAGTGTGGGGCAACGTTTTTATTCAAAGATAAAAAAGTATTTCGTAATATTGTAACATAATAGTATAGGTGTAAAAAATAGTGCATAACAAAAACATTCGTTTATATTTTGGAATTTTTTATTACTTTTTCTTTAGATATTTACACTCTCAACGACTTAATTCTACTATAATCCAATATGTCACTTAAATATAATAAATCACAATAAAAATCAAAGTAATGAAAATGTTCTGTCATAATTACTTTTAGAATTTTGGTCCTTATAATATTATTAAAGTATATTTTATAAATCGCTCAAAGCTCACAAATCTATTTGAGCTAAGTAGCTCTAAAGCATTTTATCCGTTTTTATAAATCGCATCTTCGGAAAATACAATTTTCCTTAACATTTTTATAATCTAAATTCATAATAAAAATAGTAAATTTCTTACACTATTTCGAAAAAAGCCAGTCCAAAAGCCAAATAGCAATTAATAAGACTAACTTCGTAATGCGTATGTTTTCCCACATAATTTTATATACAAGCTATATATTAAGCATATATTTCTATTCGGCAGTATGTTCTCATCTGACGCAGTATTTACTATTGCGATACCTAAACATTAGGTATGACTACTCCACAACCAAGTTTGTGCAAATTAAATATACCTATATTTTTGCATTGAAGGGTATCACTCAACAAATACAGTTATTTAAATATTTCAAGGTATTGTATCAAGTCTCCGAGATAAATCCAAGTATCTATCTATGTATCCTATGAATGAATATATGTATCTTTAATAAAATACTCGTTTAGTAGTGTAACTTATGGCACCACATGCTTACAGCACATCTATATAATATATTTACAGGTTTATCTAATATGTACATCGACACCAGATCCTACATAGTAATTAAATTTATAATCTGTACGAACAATCAGGTGTATGTGATATATAACAAGAAGTACGAAAACTATAAAAATATAAACTCAATACCTTAACAAACTTAGGAGACGTGACACCTCAACGTTCTGCCCGTCTTACGTAATCTTGGAAGACATTGGAGTGATTTCTTGTTCACTTTATATGTAACTACTGATAACTTAATGTGCAAATAACTAACTTACACTAACATAAAGATAATCCTATTTTAACCAGCACTCACTGTAAACTCCTAGCTACTCCACCCGTACTTAATTAACACATACCTACGTACAATCTAAATATGAAGATACTGTATCACAATTTTTTAATTAAAGTTACTAGCGCTTCGATACTTAATTAGTCTAGTCGAAACATTAAGTACAAAATAGTGGAACTTGATGACTATTGCGTGTATGTTTAGTTCTGATGGTTCAAACATAGGAACGATCGATCGTGTGATTTAATAACTAAGTGCTAACCTAAAACCTTAAGCATGGATCACATTGTTTTTCTTTTACATTTTCGTTTAGCAACAATCCGAAATGGTCTCGCATAGTACTTCTAAGTTAACATATTATGACTGGAAGTGACTACGATACGAAATTAAATTAAAATTTATAACACTTATCACAATATTTTATCAACTAATATGTAAGGAACAAAGGTAATAAATCAATTTGCTTACATACATAAGTTCAAAGTGCACTATCGAAACAAAAATATACAGCCCCTTGTCTACATCTATTACCTATTCTAATAATTATGTAAATATTAATTGCAGTTGCACGGCTAATTTTATACAAAGTTACTGACTCCATACTGTGTTATAAATATAATATGAAATGTACGTATAATTAGTTTTTACAATACACAAGCGTAACTTATTGCCTTCCCCCGATACAATAACATACATCCGATGACATTCTATTTCTGAAAAAATTTTGCAAACCAAAACATTATTGCCTGATAAAAATTTGAACTTGTAAAATGATTGAATAAGTAAAGGTTTAAGGTATTGTACCTCGACTTACTTCCACTAACAGTGATTGAATCAGCTGATAAATATATCTTACTTACAAACGCTACTAGATACAACTACTTTATTTAATTACAGAGTAACTGAAGGATTGAGTCAGTTTATGTTATAAAATAAGAAAAATGTGAAGCTAACTTTGGTCCCATACGAACATGTAACAAGATAATGACTATTTGTAACAGCTATTTTATTGGCAAACTATTACAGATTTATTAGAGCACTCGGCAGGTGAAATTGAAGCTTAACTTATTAAGAGGTAGATTGTAATTTCAAGAACCGTATAAACTAGACGACCTGAAAGAGTTCTATCTATAGTAAACTCGTTCAATGCAAAACAATTTTAGTGAACGCACAGACTAGAGGCAAATTACAAGTAGCACGCAGGGCTTACACTTATTTATTATGTATGCGCAAGTTGCGATTAGTAAGATACGTACAAAATTACCTACGTTAGAGACATACGATTGTCAGTCTTGGGTTCAGTCCTTGATCACGGGCATCTTGAACATGATAGTTTAAAGTATTTTCGTACTAATGCACCGTAATTAAAGCAATCGTCCGTGAGGCGCGGGACGTGGCGGTGGACACGGAGCTAGTTCAGAAGTGCACGTCGCGCACGTCGGTGGGCGTGGCGGCGTTACTGTGGCTCTTGTCCTGCGTCGGCGGCGGCGTCCAGGCCGCGGCCTCGCGCGCCTGCCCGTTTGGGGTCCCGGAGCTGCCCTCCTCGATCATGTGCTGCACCATCTCCTCTATCTGCTCTAGGCATGTTTGAAGACAGTCCTGCAAAACAACATATCGTCAGCTACATATTTCTTTATATGCTTTAAAGCAACATACTGTTATCTCAGATAAATCGTGTAATTCAGTCAGTAATTTGTATGTACTATACTTGATATTGAAGGGAACTTACCAAATCAATGCGCGTGAGTTCATGCAGCCGCGGCAGATGGCCGTCGAGGCCGAGGCCGCGCAATGCCGCCGCGATGCTGCACGACGCCAGTGTGCTTGCAGAGTACAGCGTGAACTCGTAGTCTACAACAAGTAAACCATCCATTAGAACCATACCGACCGCACTCATCACTCTTAACCTAATTTACTAATCCGTCATCTCTGTATTGTTAGATCAATTAAAATGTTTGTTATTTCAACGCTCTCATTATTATTATTTAATTAAAACAGGACCGTTTGTTTAATAAACCGCAATAGGATATGGATCAGTTAACTAATGAATAAATATAATAAATTTTCCTGCTGTACTTGTATCAATGCATTCGCAGTCGAATGTAAAATTGGAAGTAGGTAGGTAAAGTGTAGCGCATTAGCTTTCATGTAGTCGTCCGTCCGGAGACGGTGCGAATACGGCGATCGGCGGCCGTAGAGGCTAGAGGAGTGGGGCATATCCGGCAAAAGAAATGTTCCTCTCTCTCTCGCGCAGGTTGTCAGTCTCCTGTGGAGAGTGCAGCCTCAAAGGAGCCGGCACCCGCCCTCGCGGCCGCATTCCACAGGCTCGCTCCTTCGCCTCACTTGAATATTTCTCACGGGCTTACTTTGGCAAACCCATTATACCATATATCATATATGTAGGTAGACTCGCATGGACGTGTATGGGGGCTGGTATCCAACGAATACTGGATGTGGTTTCTATTAAAATTCTACCAGAGCAAGAAAAACAAACAGGAAAATCATTTACGTACTTAACATTTACCTAAACTTATTACATAACCAATCAAAACTGATATTGGAAACATTATGTATTTTAATACTATTTTGATGGTCATTAACAATATCTGTTCATCAATTTTCAAATGATCAATTGAAATCAATGTAGGTCTCGGTACCTACAGTGACGCAAATACAAATCGAAATTTGTGCAGTCATCGTTACCAACACGACTTAGTTTCTTTCAGTCCCTTTCTTTGTTTCAAATATATTGAGTAGGTATTCAATAATAAAGACAAGTATGACACCTGATTGTAAGTTCAAAGGTGGCAAGGAAATTTTTTATGTCTAAATCAAAATGAGTATTATGTCAGAGTATTTATCAGCAGTTATTTAGTTCACCACACATAGCTGCTTCTGATAATACAGCAGGAAAATAAGCTGAACCACCGACCTTGTCAAGTTATTGTTAACAATACTAAGTATATGTATACTTAACTACTAGGTACTATGGTTTCAATTCTACTGAAGTAAGTTACAGTCGAGCTTTTATTTATAAGTGATGTTCAGATTGGTATGCGCAAAACATAAAACAAGTTCCCACGCTTCTACAGGACTAAGATAAGAACCTCCACAAGGATGCGAGACACCACGAATGCCCACTAACTGGAAGACGCAAACAATACGAGCGAAGCCTACAAGAACCCTCCATTCATCATTAAGTAGACTCTATTATACCGACCAATGTATGGATATCGAACACTCTTTCAGCTCATTTAAAAGATTTATTTTCATTTTTTTTAATTTGCATGTCGGCATTCCCGAGATAAAGGGAGCGGGCAAAGGGAACGAATAAAAAGAGAGAGATGAAACAACGAAAGCGGCCGCTCACTCGAGGTATTTGCATAATCTGATGTTAATCAAACAGGCCAGAATCCTGTGCGCGTCCGAGCCGGCCGGCCCTGCCGACGAACAGCCCCTTTGTCACGAGCGCATCAAGATCACCAGTCACTCTGATTGCTGAGCGTGATGCTCGCGCCGTGTAGCCGTGCAGTCGCGGCGTGCTCGGCCGGAGCTGAGCTTCGCGCTGCTCGGCTGCAGGACACACACGTAGCGGAAGCGAACGCGTCCTTATTAGTCGCGACGGCGCTGCTTCATCACGAGCTAATAACACTAATGTACACTTTCTAGAGGAAGTGGCACAGCGACGTCGGTCCCACTGCACTCTGGTGCGTATGTAAATTAATGAAGTTGTGTACAGTGCGCTCCCTCGTAGACAGGCCGTGGCCAACTATGGCAGTACGCCCGTCTACGCGGGAGGATACATCCGTTTCTCGCTTCTGTATCACTTCAAAAATTCGTTGTTCGAAGTGTTCAATGTGAGTTCATTTCTTAACAACAATTAAATGGTTGAACGTTATTTTAATTCGGAACAATTTATAATAGAATTCCTAAGGTTTTTAATTAGGAAATTAATTCAAAAGAATTTTAGTATCTTCAATAATTATGAAGATAGTGACATAATAGGCAAGTTCCGTGACATTACTGCCCTTGAAAACGAAGTATGTACCTCCACATAACAGGTGTCGTCGGCACAGGTACTGGTAGCACGCGCAATAGTCGATTCGCGAGGTGAACGATCCCACAAGGCCGTAATGTTCGTAGGTACCTATTCGTTGAGGAGGGATTCATTGAAATAGCTCAAATCGGCAAATACTCAATTAAACACGCCATGTTCTCTAATTGTTCAAAACCATTAAAATTTATAATAATTCGTCGATCTCGTGGTCGAGATCGTCTCTAACATACTTAATGAAAAATCCCACAAGGGCATTAAATTAAATCTAACCTACATTTGTATTAATAATGCTAGCCTTATAGTTTCTTTGGTCACCGGAAGAAATTCCGCGCCGTTGCTACCACGACAAGTGCATCATGTGAAAGAATTGTCTAATAATGCAGATAAGATACCTGTCTCGGGCAATATAGGCCACGCCGCGTCACATGTCACACCTCGCATACCACACACATGTGTATACCACTTGTATATACGCTTCTAGGTGTAGCAACTTTCAAAAATAAGTTAACAAAGCCGAAAGGAATAATGTGATATTCTTAATAAAAACAAAATATGTATAACTTATCATCATCATTGGGAGGACCAGCGAGAGTTGTCAGCATTAAAATAACCCATTACAAATTTAATATCCCCACGAGTTATGATTCCAGAGTAAATTGTGCCATTCAAATAATGATACATAATGCGGGCTCGCTCGATACCGCGAAACGACAAGTCTACGCGATCTCACCGCCTCGCCCGGAGTGTATAGTATGTGTACACACACGTGTCATATACGTACATAATATCGTCTAGATAATATGCAGGTATTCCCAATAGATAGAAAAGGAAGAAACCTGTACACATCATTCGTAATCCATCAAAGATAATGGGGCTTTTGTAATGTTAATTTTATAGTGACATCATATCACACTCCTCAATTAGTTCGAAGTTAAGATCATCAATATTTTATAAATGGAAATGTGTAGCGTCGCGCACTCGGTCGGATACATTAGTGAAGGAGATTTAATTCGCCTTGGACTCACAAGTGAGAGATGATATCCGAGAAGCAAGTGAAATAAAAGAGCTGGAGCGTGAACTTCTTGAACAAAAAACAATACGACAGCGGCGGCGAACAACAAAAACCGTTGCACAAAAACATATGATCCCATGAGGGTAGCGGGGGAGGCTCGGGCGGCGCGGGGGCGGGAGTCCCGAGGCGTGCTGGAATGCGCTCGGGCGAGCGGCGTGGGAGGCGCCGGCGCGCCCGCTGCCAGGACACACACGCCGGCCGAGCCTGCGCCCTCACTGTAAACAAACCTATTCACATCTCGCTACGCTCTCTGCTCGCCGCCGGCAGACGATAGCCATCTCTCCTAATAATATATTCACCTATACCATAACCTAACAACCTATACCTAATAAATAGGCATTTGATATCCAGTTACTACCTAATAAACAAGTTTTACTTCGCAGAGGGTACTTAATATTTTATTTTTACATGAGCTTTTGCAACGAATTTAATTCCAAACCGCATTACTTTACATTTTATGACAAAGAGGCCCTGATTAACTATGCTCGCATGTCATTTATCTACAGTGATAAAACGTATAAAAATTGATACCATATGGAAGGAAATTAATAACAACAGACGTCAGTGCGGAATGCTCTGGTTGCGTAAAATGCGGCAAAATTGAAATGAGATGAATAGATACCAATAGAGAAGTAATACTTCAACGTAAAGGTTCAGTGACATGTGTCCATAGACCAACGCGGTCCGCAGCGCAAGACGACTTTGTCGTGACATGACGTGGTATCTAGATGCTAATTACTGTCTGCCGTTGCAAACAAAACGTTACATCTCATTCATGACGAGAGAACTATCTTTGAGAGACACGGTCCTGCTTCCGACGCAATAACTACATGTTAATACTCAGGTGTTTACACATTTCACAGCTGGAGTCATTACAATGTACAGTCAGTATGTTGAGATGCTTACCTCTAGCAGCTAGCGAGATGAAAGTTTGCGCGTGCCTGTGCACCATTTCGGTGTTGACGAGACCCCGCAGTGGAAGCCGGGAGAGCAGCAGCGGCAAGAAGTCGTGAGCTGTCACTCCCGCGACGTCCCACTTTAGCTTCGACAGCACCAGCAATTCCCAACTCTGTTAACAACGAAACGAAACATTCATCAAATAGGTACTTTATATTCCATTAGATTTATCAGTGGTAACACCAGAAAGGTCAATATCGGTGCGCTTGGATAATAAAATAGCATTCCTGTCGCCACATCCGCCGCTATAATCACTAACACGCCGAGTTTTGCTCGACTTCCCGGAACGGCGCGTAGGTAGTCCCCGGTGCTATGTTGTGCAATCAAATGAACAATGTTACAGTTTTAGTCCATGTTTTGTTTAGTCTCATTGAAAGTTGAAACAAAGTTACGTGGGTACCAGCCTTAAAAGTTCAAAATAATTACTATACAAATAGGTTAATGATTCCTTCAAGTTTCACACAATTAACTTATTTAGGTATCTTCTCAGACCTTACTGGTTTTTTCTCCGATAAATGGGCGTGAATAATGCCACACCATACCAACAGAATTCAGTTTTCTGAGCGCTTTGCTAAAGTAAGACAAATAGCAAATCAAAACCGTCAAACCTGTTGAACTTATCAAGTTGTTATCTTTTGAGAAGCAAGCTACAGTTGACCTAGATTGAATCTAACTTTGTTATATCAAGTTTGACGTACTAGGTACTTTGATTTTGACGCAATAATACCAAATTACTGCTGAATGTATTATATCAACATCGTGTATAGGTAAGCAGTGTCCGCGTAGAATATCCCTAATATTTGAACGAGCCGTTTCATGAATAAGCTGATTATTTTGTGTACGTACACACTCGTACATGTACGCGTTGCATGTCCGTTGACAGATAATACTCGATGTTTACTTAACTCAATCGACGGGGTCGACCGCGGCGGCCCGGCTGTTACTTTTCTTTCGATTAACTATAATCTCTCATACCAATGAAGTTAGAGTCGGTATTTGTTAAGCAAGGGATAGCAGTTAGGGCATATAGATTCTTCGCATATCATGTTTATGAATGAATGAAGTATCATCACTGGAAGTCGAATTAAATCGAGGCTGAGTATGTGTGAGTATGCAACACGATGTTACAATGACGATATCTGGTTTAATAAATATGTACGAATAGCGACTTTGCAAATGAAGAACAATATTTATAACGTTGACACACAGGCTAAAAAGAGTAGGTGAGTAAAAGCGGTTAGTAACGCCAGTATGCGGGTCGACCGCGAAATGAAAACACATATTCGTTCTATCGTTTAACTTGTGACTGGTTAAAAAGCTCTTCGAAAACAATGCATTCATAAAATTTTCACCGCAAATGTAGGCGTTGAAGGCGGATTCAGATCTTGTCTGTTGGACTTTATTTAGAAAACATGGAACGCACTGTTTGGTATAAATAGTCGCAACATGATATGTATTGTAGTGGTGTATCAGCTGATCATATGAATTAGATGAGCGATTGATGAGAGAGAGCGTGTCCGTTGCGTACTGCCGTACACAGCTAGCGCAGCACTCACATGCGTGGAGTCGGTCCACCCGAGACGGATGGAATGCAGCTCGTAAAGTTGCAGGCGAGTGTTCATTAGAGTGGAGGAGGCCGGGCGGCGGCGGGCCGGGTGCGGCGGCCGCAGCAGTTATCGAACCACGTTACAGCCAATAAAGCTAGCTATGCAAACAGCCCTCGTTGCCCGCAACACACTCGCTGAATTCCACACTCGGTTCCCATGCTTTATCCAATTTCATCGAACGGTGTGACTGCGCCGCTATTAGAATCAAACAATGAGTCGGTGTCGCGTGGCCACTAAGCTTATGAGACTAAACAACTTTGGAATTTTCCAGATGCGGATGGGAACAGTCTTACTACAGGTTATTAAAAAGTAACGACGAATTAAATTTTTACGCGTTGTGAAGGTGAACATCTACCGTATCGTATACAATGTTTGAATGTTAGCGGCTATGTGGCAAGATTAACGCCACGGTTACCTGCGACGTAGGATAGGATACATTATTATTACAAAGCCTAATTGGAGACAGTCATCGATGAAAACCTCAGGAGTGCAGTACTGAATACAAAATTTGCCGTGAGCGTACAAAACGTGTTAGGCATGTACGATATCGCAATTGTTACGTAATATTGTAACCATCAGCACATTCCTGTAAAATGATTATACTGACCGTTGTGACGTTTTGTCTAAATACCTATTAACCAATTAAGTAATACATACATTTAGGAAAGTACATATTGATTATAGATTCCTAGTTTAGGTTCTAAAATGTTTATTAAAAGTGATGGTTTATGTTCGTCAATGCTGGTGGCTACTAGGACGAGTGTTCACGTGGCTAGGCAAGATGACAGCCTGGGGCAGCACAATGGACTCGGCTGCGCAAGCTCTCAGGCCGCGTTCCACGTCCTGCTCCTAACCACAAAATTTTCATTTTTTTCATCCTCACGGCCACCGCCCGCATACGTCGAGTTGTTCAACGAGTACCCATTGGAATTTTATTACCGTTGAGGGTACCTTTTAGTGGCGGACTCTTTAATAATAATAGGGATTGCTCCTCAAATAATTTTTTGCAAGACACGACATGGTAATTGGGGAGCTGTGCAAGTACAACATAGCCTTTCTTCAATGAAGAGGTAAAAGTGAAGGAAATGTGGGTAACGTATTGGCGTGATATTAAGGTAGCTAAGTGACACAATTTTCTAACGAGTCGGCTGAGCGCTGCACCTTCACTCGTGTGCACTGAGGTTATCGTGCGCGAGCGCTCGTTAGCACAATTTCTGTTCCAACCTAGGTATCACTCAACATATGCACTTATCTCCACGAGTGACAGTAACAAAATTATAATTACCAAAGTAATTTCTATTAAGACAACAAGGATTTGAGAATAGAACATTCTAGAATGCAATTTGTTGGTTCGGCTACTATGGATTGGTATATAAAAGACCTGAAAATCTTGTTTTGTTTAGTTCAAAGTCAACAGTCAACTTATAACTCTAACACTCAACCCCTGGCGAGCCGAGAGAAATATTTTTTAATTACATAATCAGATGTTTTCTAATTACGTCACGTTGTAAGTTTCGATTAAAGACATTTATCAAACAAAGTGTTAGAAAGTACATAAAGGTACATAGGTATTGCACACAGACATTCGTTTTGTTGTGTCGCATTAGTTCGCAGGGGAAGTTTCATTTGCACCGGAAACATGCAGCGGCGCGCCGTGAGATCGGCAAACAACGTGCGCTCGTGCTAATAAGCTCATTCCTCATATTCTAAACAATAATTTCCTTTAAAAGATTAAAGCATTCCACGATTTATTATTACGAGTTCAAATAGTTCAGCCCTCTATAGCAAGCGATCAGAGTATAACTAAAGTAAACCCTTCTCCAGCATCAGTTCATCAAACATCCAATAAGTTTATGATATCGGACTTGATTGTGTCTGTAATAGTTCTCATTAAAGTTAAATTTTAACCGTAAACGCAATATTGAATAGTCTTTTGACAAACTGGCACCGCGGTCGTAAACTTATGCTTCAATTATAATAAACGTTTACAGTGGTAGTGTGGATGTGAGAACGTGCAGGTTTTATGGGCGAGCGCTGAGCGGCGCGCTCGACCGCGAGAACCCCGCATTAAAGCCGCTCGGATGCCAGGACGTGCTCTTTTTGCTCCAGCCTGTGCGCCCGCGCAGCCGTGCCCGCCAACCGCCAACAACCTTAACAATCAAATCTAACCGATTGTTCACTCACACTCGTCTACGAATACGATACCAGTCGTCACACGCCGCTCGCGCCTCGCGCCACATCTCTCCGACATTAACACTTGCTTACACCCAGCAAAACATACAGGTTAATACACCAACTTCCATCGTCTAGATAGACCAAGTTTAGATAAAAACTTAATTAATTGGAGCCGACTTGTATTAGATACAGTTGGATGAGTGGTTATAAGATGAGCATATTTAGTACCGGCTCTACGTGTGCATTGTAATGTACCGGGGTATTCTGATAAGCTGCGAAACATTCGAAATATAATTGATAATTCCACGATTACAATGAACTGCAATCGGTCGTTTTACTTTATCGAAATAAAAATTATCACATAAAATGTGTGCGATCGGCTTAAATCGAGCATCTACGATAATTCGTAGCAGGTCTACGAAAGTGCTACGAAGTCATTTTTGCTACTACGCTACATATTATACTTTAAATTTGTTGCTAAAAATAAAAAAAAAATATTTTTAACTCATTTGTCTTAGCTGTTTAAGAAGAAACATACTACATTTTTATTATTGGGTATTTCGGGTGTTGTATGATTAACTGAATTTATAGAAATCCCACTTACATTTGATTATAATCAACGTTTACGAGTAATTAGACTATTATTTTATGAGGTATGATGCAAGTATTATGGACTAAAATATTATGAGGACACTAACACGATATATGTATTTAATTGGTATCGATTGCAGTCATGGACGGTATGAGTCAGTGAATTAACATACATAGTATATGTAATATGCGTAGGCACCTAGGTATATTAACTATACTACATGTAACTATAGATGGTGTCGATGAACACTGAAGATTCACCAACGCACGCTGCACGACTTATGTGTAAAAAATGTAACCGTATTAATAATAGTATCAAGTACGTAGTCAATTTGAAGGTGTGATCTATTTGGGATCGTGGTGTCGAGCTGTCGGAGCTTCGTGAGATGAGATTATGAGCGGTCGCGACTTGTGCCGCGACGCGTGAGAAAAAATAAGCGGCGTGCTTCGCCTGTAATTGGTCTGATTGAAACGCGAGCCTCGTTCGGCGGTTCTTCCGAGAAGTCGGTCGGCTCGTTAGGGGACACTGTCCGCGGGGCACTCAGGGCAGCCCTCTCCCAGACCGCGACCCGTCGCATTCCACGACCACCGCTCACCATACGCACCTACGCTATGTCGTATAATTACAATCATTTCGCTCGAACGTTCACAGCGCCCTAATTTAGAGCGAGTATTGCCACTCGCTAACTTAACATTATATTGAATAACGCGGGTAAATCAATAGCAATAACCAATTGCCGTTACTAAATACAGACATCTAAAAATGCAGAGCACGGAATGCAGTTGCATCGCGGGCAGAACGAGTCGTGTATGTGTATTATGACGCGCGAAAATGTGGTGTGCACTGTGCACTAATTATCTACGGGACGAACGGCGACGGCCGGGGCCCCGGCGGGTGGCCGCGTCGCGCCCGAAATGCAACACACAGCCAACACGTAATACGTTTCATTTAATGCAAATACCTACTACATATGAAATAATATCGTTCGGGTACATTTAGCGCACTAAAGTTCTGTTTATAAGCCGTGATAAAAGTAAGAAACCTAAGCTAGATAAGCTGTACCCAACTAAATGCCAATGCCCTTTATTAACATTAGGAAAGTTGTCCAAGTCAGGACAGTATTACTTGACAGGCCACAAGACCACTGAGTAATAGCTTGCAAAATAGAACGGTGCCAGGGCGACTATTGTCTAGGTCTAAACAGAATCTTATATACACATGTATGTCATTTAATACCAATCACTAGGTATACCAAACATTCACTACACAAGTAAATAATCTGTTACATAACACAAGACATGTTATGTCTGCAAATACGTTAATTAAGGATGAACGGGTACCTAACAACTTTTTGTGGTTGTATTTAACCGATATTTTTAAACTTAAAATACTCGCCTTGGTGGCGATTACCGCTAAACAAGGAAAAATTTGCAACCAATCGTCCTATATATTCCTCAATATAATTCGTACTTGACCTTTTATAATATTAGATTGCGTCTAAAAATAGGAACCTAGTTATATCACTATGTTCCGCCAACTCACTGAAATAGTCTATATTCGTTACGAAGTGAAATATTTTTAATTTTATTAGTCACCCTCTTTACGAAGTCCAAGTTGTGTGAGAGCTATTTACATATCTGCCATGACATGTAGTAGTGCGTTGAGACAAATCACGTCACAAAGACAACGTATATTATAGACATCTCCATAGATATAATTAATGTTCCGACATAAAACTGGAATTCCAATCTCTCGCGGATGTTCAGTGTGCGAATGATTTAGAAATCAGCGGAGTGAACGACACGAAAGCACCTAGAGCTAACTGCAAAATTAGTGCATGCGCGTACGCGATGCATAAACTCAGCCATACGAAACTGCATGATTAATAAGATCAGCTGTTTCCCGACACGAAGAAAGTTAATTAATTCTTCATATTACTTCATATGGCAGTGCGCGGAACACCGGATGCATACTCAGAGTGCTATTGATGTAATTAACAGTAAGTACACAACACAATTGATCGACTCGTCGTTTTCTCTCGCTGCACCTACTAATCATGGCATGGGCATAGAGTACTTACACACAAGTCCGCCAGTGTGATGCTGTTGGCAGTGTAGAAGACGAGCAACTCAGCAGGCAGTGCGCGGGAGCCAGGCTCGCGCAGCTTGGACGCCAGCAGTAGGCACGCTGTGCCCAACAACTGGACTTGGCTCTTGCTTACTGCGCACGTGCTCAGGAACCGATCCAAGTAAGATATCGCCAGTGGAAACACTTCCTCCTGGCATCCCTGGTCTTCACACACCTGCAATACAAAAGAACTGTTAGTAAACTTTGAACCCTAAACCGTTTTGTTTCTTAGAAAGTACTGGCACCGCACCCAGACCATTACTTAGTTTATCATCCGGAATTCCTGATAACCTATATATAAAATGGAAATACACACTTATTGCGATAAATACAGCGCGCGTTACTTTCCTGCAGCAGTTATACATTCCTTATCAAAACGTTAATGGTTCCTGAACGTACTTGATACTACGGCCGGAATTGTACGCGCTTTTATCAAATGTAATGAACATATTTAAGAATATGTGCTTCATCCTTATGTTCCAGACTTTGAATACGAAAACGCCGAGCTTGTACAAGCCACGACTTCGCTTATCTTTTGTCGTTCAACCGCCGGCCTCGCACATTTTTCCTTGTGCAACAGAATGAAAATCACGTTTACGCCGTATTTTTATCACGGGAATACAAATTGAAATCTAATCAAAATTTCAAAATGACTTACTTTAAAATAGAAAGTAGGGAAAAGCGAAAGGGGTTAGGTCCAAAGTAGGTACCTACCTAGTTGTAAAGTATGTGGAGTGTCATGAGAGACGAAGCGTCGCGAATTGTTCCCGGCATAGTTTCGCACGGTAACGCGACTCGCGAACCGGCACGGATCCAATCGTATCGCCGTGAAAACAACATGTAGGTATGTACTCCAACGCATACATACAACCTGATGCATACCGCTCACACTCTCACGCTCTACCTCGCTCTTAACTAATTAACTTCCTCACTTCACTCCGAATGTTCCGCTATACTATGTACATCCGAATTACAAGAAACCCCTTATTATAAAATTGACAGAAAATAATCCATTTCTATAAGTACGGCCCCATGGCACGTAGCTAAATTGTCGAAGCAGAACGAATGAGCACCTAACGAATGCTACATGCGCCTATAAAACAAAGTTACTATAGTTAATATCTATTACGAGCTATGTACAATAGTAGTAAGCTGGTGAGTAGGCCGCGAGTCGTGTACGTACCACGTTTCGTGGACTTTTCCACCGGTCACATTAGGTACCTACTGGAGCAACAGAACATCTACAGCGAAAATAAAAGCGTCGCGATCGTTATTTAGATAACGATATTACAAATGTAATAACACGGATTCGGTGAACAATTCCCGAATGTTCATGTAATGCTTTTTGAGTGCGCCTGATGATTAAACATAAAAGTTAAATGCGAGCATATTGGAGATGTCATTGACCCGTTGGACTGTGAGGATCGTTTCGGTCTGCTTGTGCTGAAACGTCGGTATGCGACTAGTTTAAGTGTAAGCACGAGGTGAGCCGAGGTGGCGACGGTGCCGGACTCCGAAGCCCGAACCTGGCATCGCATGTGCCGGCTCACAGTGCGCGCACCGTGACGTCAGCGCCGCGCCGGCCGGCTCCACGTGGCGGAGCTGACTAATGACGGCGAACTATGTTTCTAACTATATCAAATACATACTTCTTAAAGTCGTAACTTAAATTCTAGCCCTAGTTACTCCTAGTGTTACGATTGCTCTACAGAACGTTCCAAACTCAATAGTCTCCGTCAAATCAGATGGTCAGATTTGCCTTTTACTGCCAGTAATAATCTAAATAGTAAAGTAAGCAAAGATCATAATAAATTACACGTCATGTAGGCCACCGAATACGAACAATGACGTTGGTGTGTGCGCTTGTAATTATTTATATGTACATATACAAGCAAAAGATAAGTGCGCAGCGGAGCGTCAGCTGTGTGCGTGTCAAAATCAGCTGATTATTCAAATAGAACGAGCGGAGTCGCATCGGTCGGCGACCGCGGCCGCCCGCGCTCGCGCCGGGGCCCCTCGCACGCTACACGGACTACACACAGCCGCTCCGCGCACGCTACTCGACTAGGTACCTACGTACGCCAGCGTCGCCAGCGCCGGCGCTGCACACTTACTACTTACACATTTCAAATACTACTTCTGACAAACACTATACTCGATCCGGGGTTCATTACTTCCAACTATCGACTAGGTAGCTGTTGTTATTCTTATAAGAATCTAACATGTGGAACGAAACCGTAATCAGCTGATCGTGTAAACAAAGCCAAACCGTCCAATTCAGTAATAGCAGTGCAATAGTTTGTAGTTATCATGGTTAGCACGTCTTACAACAACACAAATGCAAACACTCCTGCACTAGTTATCATGGGAACAGTCTCCGCGGCTTCGAGGTGACACAGTCGCGAGGGAGCCCGACAGCAGACAGTGGCGAGAGCATACGAGGGCCACTGGTGCCATAGGGAGTACCTACACGTGGCCGGAAAACGAGACAAAATGGCGATCGTTCGGGTTGCGCGATCCGCGGATGGAGCGGTGTGGGTGCGGCATGCGGCGCGGGTGCGCTCACCTCTAGCATCCACTCGGCGACGAGGCGGCGCATGTGCGGCGTGACCTCGGTCTGCACGGTGCCAAAGTAGTTGGCGGTGACGGCGTAGCGCTCCTCGGTGCGCAGCAGGTTGTCGAGCACGCGGCGCCGCAGCAGCACCGGGTCTGGCGCGGCGGCCCGGTGGGCCCGCACCGCCGGCGGCGCCCGGCCCACATCGCCGCTATCGGGACTCACGCGCTCCGCGCACAGAAGCTCCATGTTACACCGCACTGCGGCTTATTGACAGCTCGCGTCGCGGCCGGTGTCGGCGTATTGTGGTCGGACAGCTGATCGTGCGCGAGCGGCCGGCGTGGAGGACAGCGCGTTGTGTTGCGACGACGGCGAGTGCCCGAGTCGCAGTGAGCAGCCGGTAAGCGCCTCGTCGCCGAACATATGATCGGCGCGGCGCGGGGGCATCGCGGGGGCGGGGCGGGGCCCGTGAGGCCCGCACGCAGGTTTCTCCCATTCGACGTTCAAATAATAATACATAACATGTTTTCTTGCTCGCTCGCGCTCTGAAGTTCTTCTCTCTCAGTTTCGATTCTTGCTTCTCATTCTATTAGGTACTTACGTACTTACTTACTTTACTTATAAATATAAGTTGAATTCCTCGGATACAGAATAACAAAATCAGTTCTGTAACTACTAAGGAACTTGTAACGTAATTTTTCAAACTTTCTTCGTTATCAGTTTACCGAATAATTAATAAAAAATAACTTTTCAGGCCTTATATAAAATGTTTACATTTTAATAGTTGAGCGAGAGATATGTTTTTATTTATTATGTAACCTCCGGGTCTGGTTACCTCATTCACCGTGTCGTTAGTCAGTGGCCAGTGGGGCGGCCAGGCAGGCGCAGGCGGCGGCCAGTGAACTTTTCAAATCGCCTAGCGCCTAGGTTAGGGCGGCTGACAGTCTGCCACACCGCTAAGCAAAGCACTGCTTCATCCCATTTGGCTCACTTTAACATACACAAAATGGTTTGATTTGTTTGAAAACAAACACAGTGAGAATTAGTAGGTAACGGGCACGGGGCAAGAGTTAGTTTGCCTATTTCCTCCGAGTAATCTGTGTCGTTGTTGGTACCGTATCAATAAAATATAGGTACAACGAAGAATTTACTGTTGTGCTTTTAATATCTAAAATAATCATACCGTCAACAAGTCAGTTGTTTTATTGTTATAAATAAGAATTTTGCTAGTTATTTATAAATTATAAATATTCGACTACTAAGTAAGTTAAGATGTTTTCATGATAGAACAAACTATAGGTAGCTGCACCTGCAGGTATGGCATATTGGTACTTACCGTAGGTACCGCTATGAATGATGACATTGTGTCACTATGTCTATAGATGACAGGAAGAAATGGAGCGTGTGATACTTATGTAATTTGACTCAAAGTCAAATTATATAAACATTGTGTCTTTAAAGGTACAAATATGTACCTACCTAGATTCTTTCTACAGTCAACTTATTTCATAGCTAGATGAGGAAACTGAAAACCAAAGGTTACACACACACACACACACACACACTTCACAAAGTCTGGAGAGCCACTATAACAGAAAAATTTGAATAAAGAACGCAATTTGTATGAGCTAAATACCGTAGGTACCTAATAGTACCTAAGTATAAAAGTTTTTCGGGTATAGATAGGTATTTATATAGAGATGATATTTTTTATATTCACATAATTTTAAATGACAGGTCGGTTCTAGAATTTTTAGAACAATTTGGTAGTTACTAAATGGTCAAATTCAATCCTTTGCTGCACGTTGTATTGTGACATCGTTTTTTTACGTCAAATAATATACTTATTTATGTTAAATTATCTGAATAAATACGAATAATTAGTAAGTATATCGTAAAATTAGTGAATAAAAATGTGATATTTTTTTTTCTTTTTAAAAAATCAAATCAATTGTTTTTGATAGTCAAAAATACATTAAGACAACGTTTCAATTTCAATATAATAAGATTAATATTATTATTTTTTATTAATATTAATATTATTTTATAATTTATTATTTAATATTATTATTATAGTATAGATAATACTTTTCTAAGGAATTTGTGTGAAACTGCAAACTACGACGTCACAGTAGGTACCTATTTTATTTACCTATCTAAAAAAAACGAAAATTTGGTGTAACGACTTATCGATGATTATAACATTTATTCTAAAAAACGAAAAATATCTATACTTTTATAATAAAAGTCCTTAGAAAAGAAAAAAATCCTTAGAAAAGTATTGGTTTTGATATTTGCATAAAAGTATTGAATTTGACTATTTGGAAACTACCGTATTACACACACTTATAAATAGGTAAGTATATGATAATATGAACGTTGTATGTATTGATGCTTAGTTTCGGGCGGGTTATTTTAAAGTTACGAGTTACTTTGACGACGCGACGTAGTTACTAGTTAGTATCCTTGCTGGGGTTGGAGTGCGGGTCAAGCGGAATAATATAGGCCGGCCTGGGCCTGGAGCAGGAGAACGAATGAGGTGAGTTTTTGGTCAGCAAGAGACTGACACTCCCTCTCGCTCTGCCCAGGGTATGTATGTATAATATCTTTTTACCAACTTTCGCCTGAAACACAGGTTGTCCTAGTTCAGGCACCCAATATTATGAACATGGTAGGTATGCTTGCTTTATGCAAAAGTGTATATTCTAGATTATAAGTTCTTCAATAAATTTTATTTATTTATTTAAGGGTGAGAGAAGTCACATGATAAGATTACACCCTCAAATAAAAAAGGTGTAAATAATTGATTTAAGCTTACATTTTGTTTTTGTTTCGTATTTTAGTTAGTATTATGAACCATTTCTATTATTTCGGTTCCATTATTTCTTGAGAACTGATGATGATATTATTTCTATATGGTATAGTTAGGTAGGTAAGTACAACACTACTACTTCAGAATTTAAAAGATGCCGTTTCTATGTGGGAAGTAACATCCTGTACGCAAGCTGAACTGTATGTAACACACTAGGGGAAGTACTGAAATATCTGATTGACTGATATTGGAGTCAGTTTGTTTACTATGTATAAGTATTCGTTCGGAATAATATAATACTTAGGTATGCTTATTCTCAGAATTACAGATGTGCACACTAGTAGCGTACACATCTATACTAACATTATAAAGAGGTATAATTTGTAAGTTTGTATGTAGGGGGTAATCTTTGGAACCGCTGGTTGGATTTCCAAATTTTTTCACTGATAGATAGCTACGTTGTTCCTGAGTGCTATAGGCTATAAATCATCACGCTACGATCTGTAGGAGCCGAGCTGCGGGTGAATCCGCGTGAGAGTAGCTATAATGTATATACTAGTACCACTGTACGTTGATAATTCGAACTTTTGTATTTAATGAAGCTAAAATTTGTGTAACCATGTAGGTATTTATCTCCTTTAAATCTTTGATGTTTATGTAAGTATTTGAATTAACTTGGGCACCTAACGACGTGGTGGCCTGAAAGTTAAGGCGCCTACTTTTTAGGGATCACGGCTTCGAAGCCTGACAAGTACCAATGTCACTTTCTTAAGTACTTAGATTATTTAGAAACTTCTTACTGGCATACACTGAAGGAAAACATCTTGTGCAAACCTGAAATTATAAGTTTTAAATCGCAAATCCGCCTAGGAGAAGCACGAGCACGATCAAATGCTCAAGACGCTTGCTGGCCTGATGAGGACGATGATGATGATGGGTGGTTATCAAAAAAATATGAAAATCATAAATCAAAAAGTCTAAAGTCATTATTAAAAATCTCTTTATTAAATTAACATACATAGGTATACTACCTACATAAAGAATAAACTTAAATATTTTACTGAATAAAATAGATATACCGTTTGTAAGGAAACTATTTTTAAAAGTAAGCGTTACATTTTTCGTTTAAATTACTTTAGGTCTGTGACTAGTAAATCTTTAGAATGTACAGACCTATTCTACTACAAAAAATTAATCGATTTTGCCAGTCTGCTGTGCAAGACCATTCATAGGTTTTTAACTATCATAAAACATGAAAAATTCGAAGTCATTGTTAAGGAACACGGCTTATCAAAGTAGGTATAGTCTAGTCCTCAACAGGCGGGTGAAAAAGTTCAATACACTTATGTAACACACAGGTATGCCGATGAAAACTTACAAGTGACCTGGATTCCTGCATTAATGGTGGAAATGGAGCGGAAAATATCAGTCGCTAGAACAGTCGTCACTCTATGGAAAGAATGCAACAGCCACACGATACATCTGCTAAATACTTTTTGATATAATTTCTTCCGTGCCGTAACACGAGAATCATTCAATCCACGAACCGAAACCGTATTAAATCAAAAATGTTAACCGTCGAGGATTTTCGGAGTGGTACTTTTCTGGCAGTGTTAGAGCTTTAATTAAAGCAAGTAGTAGGTGCTTATAAAACAGTCTATGTAATGAGGTTTGAACCTTAGAATATTAATTAAACTGTTTGCTCAACGCATCTAGCCCGCGCTGTTTGTACTAGTGATCGTCACAGTCAACGTCCATTTCTTAGCGGACGTGTGTCTAATATCTCGCAGCTAATTACTGAATAGCGTTGGTGATCGATCGTCGATTTGTTCTCATTGTTGTTGAATGTCAACGGCCATATAAAAGCACTTGCTTGTAGCAATAGCAGCGGGTCGATCAACTCCTTCGCGGGTTTTTTGCTAATTCAAATGAGAGGTGTGCGCAAGCGCACCGTGCAGGGCTCACGCGCAGGAAGTGCGCTATAACCGCGCGTCATTAATCACCGACTAGCCGGCTTCCTTCACTCCTTGGCCAATATGAGGGCGACACTTTTATTGTTTCGCGTATTTTTAATTTTTATTGCACACGCCTCGCGTTACTTTCTGCGGTCGGCACTCGACAGCTCCAGCGCTAAGACAACAGCTCGTAAAATGTTTGTTACTCTACTTTTGAAATGTCTCAATCGTAGCAATGTCGAGTTTATAATGATGGAGGGGAGTGAGCCACCAGCGGCGAGCAGCAAATCTTCAAGACCTTTGACCGGATACGTGCTTAGTTTCCTTACTTGTATTAAAATGAGCTTGAGCGCAAACAATGAACAGAATTCCGAAACACGGCAATAATACGGAATGCTTAGTGCGAGCGGGACATCACTCTTTCTTGGAACCACGACACTGCGTAATGGAACGCGGCAAAATGGAATGCAACCGGCACCGTTGATCGGCTGAACCGACCACTGTTTACTAAAAGTAATAAGTGAGCTTGTCAGCTAGCCAGCCAATATCTTCTTCACGTTACTCGCACATACTTTATGATAATCTAATCATTATTCACTTGCATGCATCAATTAATCTCTTATTATATCCCAATCATTTATTTGCTGC